ATTATCTATTAAAAAAACACCACAGAGACCACAATATATCTCTCCAATAGATAATTTATTATAAGAAATATGATAATAATAAGAAAGGAAGACATAATAGAAGGTAAAACACACAAAATATATATTAAGAGGAGAGGTGGAAGTTCCCGTTTTCTCTGACCATAGTTTGCCGGCTGACGCGTTTCATACTGTTCATTGTTGACGAAGAAGAGGGATTGAAGATTTTGCAATTTTCATCGATTTTATATAAGTGTGGAATATCTTATAAGGTTATTATAAGTTGTTGGCGGTACCTACTACTATGAAGTAATGGACTGGGTGTGCATTACGCCGAAATGTCGTTGGGTAAGTTAAATATTCTGATAATAATCCCGGGAATCGATGGCCAACTGCTGGAGACTTAGTAAACATTCCCTTTTACTGAGCTTCATCTTGGTTATAAAATACTATTCATTATGTATTAACCTTCGCTAAACCTTGGTGGATGACTGTAAAATAGACATATCGTGGATTTAAATGGGTGTGAAGAGTGTAACAGTTTTAAAATTAGAGATGAAAATGGTGGTGGATGGGGTAGAGGGAGAGACGGCCGTGTGTGCTGTAATGGCTCCTGTCTTCATCCCCATTTTAACACACTCTAACGTCTATTTCCCTTAATTCCTCACCTATGGCCTGTGTAACATCGTATGGTATGTATAATTATGTGGAAAGATTTACATAGAAAATTTGTACTGTGTGATAGAGGGTGATAATTTCATCTCAAGTCAACCATCATAGTTCTCTAGTGATGAAGATGGAAGAGTTGGAATTTAGTTTAATATCGTTATTATTATATTGTTGTTAAGTGTGTGTAAGTTGACTGTGGATTACTGATAAATTACTTGTTATAGTCATTTCTTATGAGTTGATAACGCAGGTAGTGACCATCTTAGTGCTAGTATGTTTCTCTACACACTTATGTACTTACACACCTGTTTCTTAAGGGTTTATAAGTATTCTAAGTTGTTTTAGTGATAGATATATTACCTTAGCAACAGTATATACCTTAACTTGAGAGTAGTTATACAGGTGAAATAAGTTAATATTATTTGTTTGGCCATTTTACACACCCTCTGTATGAGTCACTGTAATAATGTTCTTACTTTGTGTGTTTTCAGAGACCAACATATATATTGTATTATGTTTTAACAGTTTCATAAATATATTTCCTTGGTTATAAACACTTAATGGACTCAGATAAAGTATTGCATGTGTTTTGATATCTTAAATTAGGTTATTATTCTTATTCATATAACTGAAATTATTCCTTTATGCCGTGTGAACATTTATCTCAATTATTATATATTCCTTCTTCCATGTACCATACAGTATAAGTAAATATGTGATTATGTAGTGTAGATAAAATTTACCATATATAATGCATTAGTATATGACCAATGGACATTAAATAATCCTTCACCATTCTATATTGTGGGTCTTCCTGCCACATTTGTATTTCATTAATTTAGTGAATAATTTTAAAATACATGTTTACAGGAGTTTGTATTATTTAATGAAAGTAGAGAGTAGGTGGTGGGAGCTTGTTAGATGGTGGTTTGAGCTTGTAAGATGGTGGTGGTGCTTGTAAGATGCTGGTGGAGCTTGTAAGATGCTGGTGGAGCTGGTGGAGCTTGTAAGATGCTGGTGGAGCTGGTGGAGCTTGTAAGATGCTGGTGGAGCTGGTGGAGCTTGTAAGATGCTGGTGGAGCTTGTAAGATGCTAGTGATGGCTTGTAAGATGCTGGTGGAGCTTGTAAGATGCTGGTGGAGCTTTTAAGATGCTGGTAAGGGCTTTTAAGATGCTGGTAAGGGCTTGTTAGATGTTGGTAAGGGCTTGTTAGATGGTGGTAAGGGCTTGATGGAAATGCACAATGTATTGCCAAACAGGGTTGTGTAAGTAAGGAGGATTGTGTCAGGCATCAATAATATGAACATTTTTGCCGTACAGTGTAGTTATGGTATAAAATTTAGTGAAAAGAAGCATTCACCAGCCTAATCACCATTCACCAGCTATAACCCAATCACCATTCACCAGCTATAACCCAATCACCATTCTCCTGCTATAACCCAATCACCATTCACCAGCTATAACCCAATCACCATTCACCAACTATAAACCAATCACCGTTCTCCTGCTATAACCCAATCACCTATATGACCCATTAGTAAACGCTTGAAATAGTTTGTCAAAGGAATTTCCAGCACGACATGATGTACAGTATCACTTCTAGGTTACCAAGGACCGACTGTCTCACTACTGTACCTAAACACACTAGATTTTTAATGCTAGGCAGTGATCTTCCTCACTTGTCTGGGTTTTACATTAGTGTTAGACAATTTTACATTACCCGGTACTAAGGTAGCGTTTTGCAGGCAGATGAGCTCGTGTCTTTAAAATCAACATCAACATCATCGTAATCATCATTAGAATCCACGTAATCCATAGTTTTTTTTGCTAGTAGTTGATTATAGACATTGCCGAAGCGTGAGGCACCACAGCTACCAACACCGCTTAACTCTCGGCCAGTCTCACCACAGCACCTTGATATAACAAATGCTAACTGGAGGAAGTTATCTACCTACCTGTCATAACTCTTCCGTGTGTTAGGAGTTGAATAATTTATGAGATGGCAGCAAAAGTCACAGCTCCTGTACGTAGATCAAGTCTCGGTTCTTAGCCACAGTCTGTAGTGTTAAGTTACGTACTATACTTATCCTGTGCTCTCACTTTCAGCCTCCCTGCCACCCTGTCTCTCCTCGGTATCCTTCCTCTCAATGTTATAATGCTACTGAATAACTCACTGTGCTGATGAAAGTATAAAGCCACATCACGCCTCTCTTGATATTCTACCGAGCATCTTACTCGAATGTTTGTCACCACCGCACAGGGATAAAATAAAAAAGAAAAATTAATAAACATGTGTTGTACAATGATGAAAAAAACACTTATTTAACTTTTTTTTTTACATATGCTCCACATTTTGAGAATCTTTTGGTACAATTTGTTCAGGACTACTATTAATTTCACCCCAGCATGTATGAAGTATCCATGTGTACAGTACCTATCTGTGTGTATTTGCATCTTTTTCATATACACCTCTCATCACCCTATGACTGTGTTTTATCCTTCTAATACAACTTGCAGCTTTCCATTTGTAAGGGTTACACATATCTCTTATGATCCACAAATTACTGTCCTTCTCTTCAAAGTTCAAGGCAAGTTGTGCATGAAGATTAGGCCCATTGTCACCTGCATGTGTGTGTGCATTTCCCCATATTAATATCTGATGCAGTTCTACAAAGATTTAATTTTATTCTTTTTCACCTTTGTGTTATTTCTCAACGTCCTTGAAGGTTAGCCATGATCGCTCAGCAAGGGAAAGGCTTTTATCAAGGAACACACTACTGTATCTGTTGTCCACTACATGAATGTGAAACAGCACTAACGTAACCTACTGTAGCATAACCACTAAGTTAAATGACCTGTCAGAAATATTGGATCTCATGCAGATAAGGAACCACAGCTCATGACACCTTAATGGTAAACTAACCCCCCAGCTTAGTGTTAGGGCTTTTATCACCAGCTAAGGACTCCATATTCTCATGATATTCAAAGTATTGTACTGTACTGTATTTTCACTGTCAGGAGGATTGTAAATATATCTATGAAGAGAATCTGTTTAACCTTACTGTAGCTACCACATTGAAAACTATCATTATCTTCAGGTCTGGTTATCGCTATTGTCCGTGCGCCGGAAGCCTTAAAAACATATATGGTCGTGATCAGTTTTATTACATACAGTGGCAAGCAGTAATGAACTCTAATAAACTGTAATAACACAAGTTTTTTTTAGCGTGATGTAAGTTACCGGGTGTCTCACGTGGAACATCAACCAGTAAACAACTAGAGAGTTACATCAAATGGAACAGTGATGTCAGAAGATAATTTAAGATCACCAGAAAATTAGCCCATCCCAGCCTTCCCTCACCTGACACTGAAATACCCAAATGTTTTTTTAGGGGGTTAGGTTAAGCTGGGGTGGTTACTCTCCTCTTGATCTGTATTTGTATTTTATTACCATTGTGTTAGTAGCTACAATTTCTATGATGAACGTCTATTATGTATAAAGGAGTTTTAATTTATTTCTTGTATCAGTTAGATGTCTCAGGTCATGCACCATACTGTACAGGGTGTTTCAAAGATCACACACCATATTTTACAGGGTGTCTTATAGATCACACACCATACAGTATCAACAACACCCATATACCTGGATGCTGCTGGTTAAATTCTTCTGCAGCGGATCAGTGTGTAGCGTTTGGCTCTCCGTACATACATAAACATTAAGCTGACTCCAGAGATAATTTTACCCCCGTCTTTGTTCAATTTTCGTGATTCTCTCACTTTAAAAAGAAAAAAAAAGAACATTGATTTTGGTATGGGGTATGGCCTATGTGATGGTGTCTGGTGTGTGTTTAAACTGTAGTCTTTAGTTATGCATTTAATTTTTTACAATTTAATTCATTATTATTATTAAGATCAACATATAGGCTTTTAGTTTCATTAGAGTTCAGTTCTGAATGACCTTATTTGGATGTTAGTTATATTTTTGACTTCTAAATTGATTGCTTTATTGACGAGCTTTGTTGTGTTGTGATTCCAGGGATTCTCTTTTAACTTTTTCTCAATGAATCAGTACTAGTACATAGTCATGGCTATTTGTTTAATTTATTTACTGTATGTTGAGAGGGAATTATTGTTGCATAAAGATTAAAGTCATTTTGATTGATAATTGAAAATAATCTCCTGGCATCGCAATAGTTAGAACACTGACGTCAACAGTAGTATTATGGCGCCAGATGTTAGTCACTAGCGGTGTTTGGAAGACCATCATAATGGTGTGTATTTATTCTCTTAGACTGGTGTTGTCCTGGTGACTAATGATCACACTCTTCCAACAGGAGCGGTGACAGGCTTTAAGATGGAGCACTTCAATGCCCTGGATCCTCGCAAACAAGAGCTCCTGGAGGCACGGATCGGAGGCCGGGTAATGGAACCCCCTTTTTTGGTTACCTCAGATATTGAAAGTGGTACAGAAACGCCAAGAAATGGTGGTAGTTCCCACTGTAACCCCCAAGTACCTGTTCCGATAAGTCCGGGTATACAAGAAACTGGCGGCAAAGCCATTATAGGTGTAGGGGAACAGGCTACGTCCTCTTCTCATGTACCCAGCAGGTTAGATCCTCCAATATGTATGACCTCGAGGCAGCCCGTTCCTCTCTCTCCGACTCCCGTGCAGGCTAGTGTAGGTATTCATGGGATGAAGAAGTGTTCAGGACCTGGTGTAACAATACAGTCTGGTTTTGTCACATATGGATCTGAAATAATTGTAAGCTCCAACAGACAGGGCCAAAGTCTTCCAGTTCCACAGGCTAACTTATCTGTTTATGGAGGCCAAGAAAGGCAAATAGTGAGATTAGAACATTTACAAGAAAGTGTTGTGAGAGACTCACATGTTAACCAGGCACAAGGGTCATCCTACAAGAGCTGGGACAGGAATCAGGAAAGTGGCTATAGAAGTAACCTGCTTCCCAGCTCTGCCAATCTCTTGTGTACTGTAACAGAAAGTATAGCCAGTGGGGTACCTGAATCAGAGGACACCTGTAAGCCTTCAAACAAGAAAATCCAAAAATCCAGTTTTTCTGGGACTCTTGACAAAGCTGTGATCGGAGGCTTGGAGTATAGTCCTACAGGTGAACCTCCTTCCAGGAAGTGTGTTAAGAAGAATCCAAAAGCCAAGAGACATCTGACATCCCCCAGGTGTCCCCGTGGGAGTCCCAAACTGACTGGGGAGATGGCCCGGGTTGGAGCTAGAGTGGACTCCCCCTTACAACTGAACCTTGACCCAGGAAGACTGGAGAAGGTTAGAAATACATTCGCTGACAGTAAATTTTCTTTCAGTAATGTGGGTGTTGTGTAAAGTGTAATTGGCTGTGAAGGTACGGGAAGCTGTACCCCAAAAATCTTGAGTTGAAATAGAAAATTATGGCAGTGTGGTTACCACTTGTTAATGCAAGGTTCCAGTGTTCATCTAGGGACCTCTGTTGTTGTTGTCACACTGCAGTTATGACCTTCACAACGTTAACCATTGTGAAAGCCTTTTTTGTGCAAAGCCTTTTGTGTATATGAAAAGGAGTACTGTAGTTTGATATGAAACTAACTGTGAGTTTATCAAGAACCTGGAATGGAAATACCCATGAAATGCTAAGCATTTTGTACCCAGATGCAATAATTCTTCTTTTTCAACTGTAAGAGTGTCAGTCTGCACTGTATACAATGGCAGTATTAATACTATAAGTGTAACATTAAATATCATCGTATTTTCTCTTTTAGGATACGTACGCCTTAACGTGAGTCATATTGTTTACTTTCACTTCTAACGTTGAGGAAACTTGAGTTGACTTTAAGCTTTACATTGTCATTTGTAGACATAATGATTTACAATCAGAGGAAGATTAATTAGTTATCAGTTTTTGTTCCAATGTTAATGGTAAACAAAGATGGCTATGATGTGTTGTGGATGTACAGTATCACCTTTATCAACAACTGTTTATTAATAGTATCATAATCCTTGTGCCATAATCCACTTGTACTGTAACCACACTCATGTTCATATCTTTTATTTAGTGACCCAGTGTTGCTTCTTGACCCACGAGACTTATGCTTTACTGAGGAGTTCCATCTGACACACATTTACTCATTCAACAGTTAGTAAACATCAGCTGCTGGTGTAGTCATTGGTGAGGTTCGCGGTCGGGTTGAGTCTAGACAGCGCCCAGATACTTCCACCTCCGCTACTTCGTCCGTGTCTTATGTTTCCCTTAATTTTTGTGTGGATGGCCGTTTAGGTGTTCCTTCTACCCGGCTGTCATGTGCCTCCTCCCTTCTTATCCACAACTCTCTCTCATATCCTTAACAACTACATCTCTCTCTCTCTTTCTCATATGTCACAAGTACTTAGGTCATCTTGAAACTGAGAAGAAAGTTTATTAAGTATGAACAGATTGCCTTTGGGGTTTCGACCTTCCATTTGGCAAACATCAACATTTCAGATATAAAATGATAGATAGATAGATGTTTATTCATTAAAATCTCCGTACCAGATAAACAGATATTCAGTCAAACCATCGTACAGATTTATTGTACTGTATACATTGATATACATGCGGGTATACAGTTCATCATGTATTTAAAGAGTCTGTGCAGGTATACAAAGTACATAGATCGAGCAGGTATACAAATAATGTACCTCTGCAATGCGGGTATATATACAAACAGCAGTAAACAGTAAGGTAGTTTGACTAAGGATAGCCAACAGAACCACCAGATGCTTGTTTCCTGCTTTTAGGTTCCTCAGGTTAATGTGTCAGTGACTCAAAAAATGTCAATCCACAATTGTGAAACACAGGCAAAAATCAAGCAGGTTATTTAAGGATCGATGTTTTAGGGATTATATTGAGATGAAAGTCCATTATATCGAGGGTCCGTTGAATGTGAATGTTATGTGCTTACTGTTGAATATGATTTACATAGAAAAGACGTAGTATTGTGTACGACCGAGCTGAATGTGGTGCTGTGTGTTATTGGTGAAGGGAACACAGGTAGACTAATGGACCAGGTACTTCTACTAGTGTCCATCATGCCACGTTGTTTGTGTAGGAGTACTGTAGGGATTACCTTATTGTTGTAGTGTGTAGATGTGTCTCGGGGAACTGTGATTATATATTACCATCATCACCATCATTATCACCACCATCATCATTGCCGCCAACATCACCATCATTGCCACCACATCTCCTCAGTTTTACGGCCGTTTTCCACGCTCACATGGCTTAGCTGTGATTACCTGATGACATGGTACCCTAGTTGCTATTAGGTGAAGAGGCAAGTCTTACAGCTGGATGCCCTTCCTATCACCAACCCACTTTTACAGAGCAGGAACTGGGCATTATATATATAGGACTTCCAAGTGCCCTCTTAGCTGGCTGGGTTACTCTTGTCACAGTGCTGTGCCAAAAAACTCACCCTATTCCATAAATGTCCAGATACTGTATATAGTTTTCCCCTCATAATTCCTTAGTAAGTGTCACAGCAGTGTAGTTTAGTCCTTTTTCCTAAGTATTTTGAATACGGGAGCTGGATTTTTACTAGTTTTGTTTCATACAAACAAGAGTTGTGGTTCATCCATGAGTTTCTGGCATCCCAGACGGTCGTGTCAGCCGTGTTGGGACTAACTTTACACTTGGCATGACTGTGGTATGTGGGAGCTTTATATTTTATTTGTGGAATCAGATTTATCAGTGACACAAAATATGGAGGTTCAGGCAGATGGTGAATATATGACCTGGGGGGTCTATAGAAAACCTCTGGACCAATCTCAGTGAAACTTTCCTTACAGTAGCTACTCTTAGGAACACCCTGGGGTCATGTAAGACTGTTTACGGGACCAACACAGAACCTGGAAGATAATGTCGTGTGGTCTGTAATCTTTACCTCTCTCTCTCTCGCTCATTTAGGTGTTCCCCATCTCTTGCCTCTCCATAATGGGCTGTGCACCACACACTTTCAATGTAGTGTTAGGGGGAAGGGGTTTAAACCTAAGGTGAAATAAGGTTGAGGTTATAAGGTGGTCGCATATATGTCACTCATCCACATCACATTCCCATCATAGCGAGGCATAACAGATACTACGGGACGCGGGGGATAACACACACATTCGACGAACAGCTGCGGTCAAGGATAGTAGTCGTGCTTCAGTGATGTTAGGGCGTATATATACCCTTTGTTTGGTGTGTCTTGATTATCAGTCATCCTTCCGGCTTCACTGTCTCTCCCAACCCCACAGCACGATTTCTTATGACTGAACTAAAATAACAGAAGCCAGTGTTATTTATGAATTCTTAGTATTTATTTGATGTTAAGAAAGTGATGCTTAATTCTGTTTCTTGGTGTTTGGGGAGGAAACGACCACAACGAGGTGATGCATTTGCTAATTTTCCATATGGTTGAATTTTAAAGTCTGTTTATGGTTGCTTTATAAATAAGATACTTGTAATAACCTTTTTGATGACTTTCTTGCTTAATGATTGAGTTAATAGTTAATAGTAATTTTGGTATTTCATTGATTAGAAAGCTTCCTCTGGTTGTGATTGATAAGCTATGCCTCAGTACTGGAGTAATGTCAACTCACATAAGAAGACAACAACTTATATATTTGTCTTAATGTGGGTTTGACATTTATGCAATATTTTTTTCACTTGTTTTCATTTCTGTGTAATCTGTCAGACGTCACTTTCTCAAAAGGTGTACAGTGCTTTTGTTTTTGTGTAGGGTTACCTGTATATAATTTAATTATTAAGTTGTCTTGTGTTATCCTTACTGAAGCAATAAGCTCTTAGTGTATTTATTATAATATTTGCTTATGTATTTATGTATACGACTAAACATTAAGTTAATATGAGTAAATACATTCTAGGATTTAAGAAATACATGAACGTTTTGTATTTGTAGTACAGAGTCGGTACAGTATCGGCCAATGACCAAGTCTTTTTTATCCCTTCATTCATATACTGTATTATCTTCTGTTGTCCCCAGAACCATAAGTCACATCATAAGGTGTTTGTTGCATCCATTGTACAGTATACTTCCTCTTGTTGTTGTTCAGTTTATGTTGAGTTTGTAGCGAAGTCAGTCACCACACTACCACCATCACTACCTTGCCGTCAGCCCATGTACTGTAGGTCCGACAATATACCATAGCATAGTTTGTGTTGTCCCCTGAATGCCTTTTATAATCTGATAGATTTTCTTCAATACATTTCACTGTTTGTATGCTGTAGAAGGTATAATGTAGATGTTATTGTTTGTACTTCTCACCTTGATATCAGACACTTGTTTATGCCTTCTTGTAAACTTCGGCACTTTATTGTTTGTTTTGTATAGGTGTTTACAGGTATTTTAAATTTTTTGTTTGTATTGCTTTGTAATGTAGACACAGTGGTGTATACTTCAGCAGATCATTTATCACTTTTCAGTTTTATTTTGTAATTTATCACTTGATTTTTTTCATTTATAACTGTTAAAATTTTTTTTAACACTTCCATTCTTAATAAGTTAACCATTAGGCTTCGCACTTGTTCCCATAACTAAAGACGGAGGAGAAACAAAATCAGGTGAAATTTTCCAAGACACGAGAGGTCCGCTATCTGCCTAATGACTACCGTTAATGTGTCTTGAAGTTACGATCAGTATTTATTAAGATTTGTTTTTATATTTATTGATACGGTGTTCTGTATTTAGTCCAGTGAGTCCTATGTGGTTATGACAAACTTAATTCGCTGATATAACCTGAAAATTACGTCCAGTCTGTTAACTAACTTGTCAGTATTTCACGTTACAGGCATAAGATCGATCGTTAAGCTTGTATTTATAGTTTGGAGGACACACGCACACACGCACACACGCACACACACCCACACACACACACACCTCTCTTTCGTATCTCTATCTGCCCGAATCTAGGATGTTATTTCCCTTTTGCTTATCTGCTGTGTTCTATTTTCATCTGTACTGAGTTTGGTCACCTAAAGATTAGCCCCCCCCACACAGCTTATTTCACCTGTTTAGTCCCCTCAGCTTATTTCACCTGATTATTCCCCCAGCTTACTTCACCTAATTAGTTCCTTTAGCTTATTTCACCTGATTATCCCCCCTCCCCCAGCTTATGTCATCACCTGTTTAGTCCCCAGCTTATTTCACCTGATGATTAAAACACACCATGACTACCTAACTCCACCAGGTAAAAATATAAGCTGGGGTGGTTAACCTTCAGGTGATCCCATTACTCTGTTGATTAGGGTGAAAGGGATCAGAGGAGGGTCGTCCACACTGCTTGATGTTGTCTTATCTAATCACGGGTTACTTACACAGTGGAGTTGTTGGAGTGAGGTAGGGGTTTGTTTCTCTACTGTTTTGTCTCTCTTTTTTTCTCTTTCTCTCTCTTTTTTCTTTCATTATTTCTCTTTTATTCTTTCTCTCTCTCTTTTTCTCATTTCTCTCTCTTTTTTCTTTCATTATTTCTCTTTTATTCTTTCTCTCTCTCTTTTTCTCATTCTCTCTTCCTGTCTCTTATCATTCTTTTTCTTTTTCTTTCTCTCTCTCATGTTCCTTCAGTAGACAGTCAATTTCGACCATTACCCGAGTACCTGAGGCAGTAATGACACATGAATTAGAGACGTTCCTCCCCTTCCCCCTTCCCCCTCCCCTCCCCCTCTCCCTCTCCCCTCTCCCCTCTCCCCCCCTCCCCCACTTACAGAGTAAACAGGAATGTAAAGTACAGTACAGTACAGTATAGTCATTACCTGAGTCAGACAGAACATTCATATAAGCACTTACCCAGAGTAAACAGGACATGTATATAAACAATTACTCAGGGTAAACAGGACATGTCCATAAACAATTAGCTGTGGTAAACAGGACGTGTATATAAACAATTACCCAAAGCAAACAAGACGTGGATACAAACAATAAAACAGCATCGTTGATTATAAAGTAACTGGTGCGTACTATAGTGTCTGTCCCTTTGTTAGGATCTCGTAAAGATTTGGAACCCGTACTTATTTTACCAGCCGAGTCAACACCTTAACCCTCTCGTAGTCTGTCGATGCAAATTGTGTCGTTAAGCGCCCCTGTGCTGACGCTCATCCACACGTCTTGAGTCGGATGAGGGATGATTCCTTCACCCTGCAGGTTTGCCCCCATGTCTACCCCATGGTTGAGCCGGCATATGTGGCGACAGCGATAGTACATGTTAAATCAAGATATTAACACACACACACACACAGGGAAGGAGGAGTTAATATCACAGGGAGCCTCAGGTGTTGCAGTTTTCATGTGTAGGGTTGGGGTGACATAGCATCAGTGGTTCTTATGGTCTCTGGGAAAAAAAAACACCTCCACCCCCGTCAATGGCCACTGTACCATATTTCTTGTTTTAGCCTTTGTGTGATATGAATTCCCAGTCATGTTAATATACAGTATGTAAAAGTGACTGTGTTTGGGGGATCATGTTTACTGGTGTGTTGTAATGGCATTGGAGTAGTGGTGCTGTACTTCCCACAATAACAACACCTCTACCTACTTAATGAAGCCTCTCTTTGTTGTTATTTACATTCAAACTGTGGCGAGTAATTTTCTTCTCTGTAGATTTATTTAAAGAAAAAATGCCTTGTTGGGGCTTCTGTATACTGTACTTTCCAGCATGTACTGTATAACTCAATTACTGTACTATGTCAAGTACAAGATGTCACAAACAATGAAGGAAGCTGAACAACTTTGAGTAGTATATCATAGTCTCTAAATAGTTACTTTAGCTATTGTTTCATCAAAATTACAATATGTCCTGTAATTCCATCTCATAAGTACAGAATAGTTATATTTAGGCTTTTTGAAAACTAAGTAAAAGTTAGGTGTTTTGTTGTGTCTGGTTACAGCGCCACATTCCCTGGATGGTGTAGCTACTGTACCCAGATACTGTGCTCCTGACAGCCGGGTTTTGTTATTCTTATACTGTAGTTAGTTCAGGTGTGTTGGGGATTACTGTACAGTATTGATAAGTTTCAACATAATGTGTACCATTTATCTTGTACTTTATTCTGAGGAACACTTTCATATACAATGTATATTTACAGCACATAGTGTGTTGATAATTGATAGGAGAACTTTTTTATATTGCCCAGGTAAAGTTTATTTTTTAAACATGACCAAGATGTTTAACTGTGATGGTGAAACAAATGTCTTCCTTCCTTCACCTCAACATGTCAAGAGTTTGATATACAGTATCTGTCTCTGTGTTGTTGATACAAAGTCCTCAACTACTTCATTAATTGTTTAAAGCCTTGCTTCTTTTATTTCACTTTTGTACATACAAGAAGTGTTGCAGCCACAGCGCTCGCCACCTGTCTAAGGGTTACTGGTTCACACCCAGAGCACCCCAGGTTCACCCACCTGTGAATGGTTACCAAACTTTACAGTTGGTAAGTGAAGGCCATTGAATACAGTGCTGACCACACTGCTGAGGCTTAGTGCCATGTGTGCTGTAGCCACTGTCCCCCAATTGGTCGTGAGGCCTCTGGGACCCACTGTATTAGACACCTGTGTTGCCATATATTACTACTGGTAACTTTATTAAGAAGGACCTTTATTACCGTCACTGTCCCTTATGACTTCCTGCCGAGTCTTTTATCTCCGTCACCGTCTTAACTCGACAATATTTCCCATATTACAGGTTGTAAAGTATTCCCGGCTAATGAGACACTTGTTACCTTACAGGCGCACCTTGGTGGGAGTAACCCCAGCACTCCCACTTCTACACAACCGCCCACTTCCATGTCCGGATCTGTGTCTCAGCCTATGTTACTGGACAGACAAGACTCCAACCTCAGCACTGGTCAGTTGTCTTCCAGCATCTTGTAGTACAGTACTGTAGAGGATTTTATGGATTTTAGACAACACTTAACTACTCGACCGTGATTACAGTTCAGAACTGTAATTAAAACATCCAGTACAGTAGTGTGAATACTGTACAAGGTTAGGGGCTGAGTTCTCCTGATGTAATTGAGTTCATTAATTTGGAACAAGAATCTCATTTCTCTCTGGTTAGTTGATATGTTGGTGTTTCACTGAGCATCTCATATAAATGAAAGTTTATAGTAGTTGTTTTGTAAAACATGAAGTTTTCTAGTGACAAGTTGTTTCACATTATTTATCATCTATAGAGACAAACACCCAAACTTGGTGTCTCTCTTTGTGGTGAGTATGGTAAGTAATACTGTTCTACAAAAAGAAACCCACAATGGCAGACAAAATGTTTATTCCAAACAGTTTTGGTGACAACTGTCACTCTCCTCAGGGGAGTTACAGACAAAGACTGGCCTCTGAGGGCGACAGTTGTCGTCAAAACTGTTTGGAATAAATATTTTGTCTGCCATTGTGGGTTTCTTCTTAATGCTTTGTTGTTCACTTTATGGTGACTCTCCAGCCCTCACTGTACACATTGTTTAATCCCAGGGTTTATATAAAAATGACGGTGTTTAAGACACGTGGCAAGTTACTATTGCATATTAAACATTTTGCAGGGTCATCTGACCGAGAGGAAAGTACCAGTCCAGATAAAGTCCAGCTGCGAACCCCAAGTGACCGGAAAAGGAAACGAAAAAGCGGATCGCAAGGGGCGCTGAATGACGAGGGAGGAGGGGGAGTGACTCCTAAGGTTAGCAGAGCGACGGAGAACAAGAAAATTAACGATTACTTCAAACAACAGCAGCAGCAGCAGGCGAACTCCCCTCACAGACTCTCTGGTGCCAAGAGCCCCTCCCCACAGACACTGCTAACACATATGGTAGGTGTATGACCCAACCTCTAGTAGTGTGAGGCACAATAGTAGGATAAAAGTAGTAAATATATGATAGGTCTTTAGATCAGGCTAGTATGCTGGTTAAGAGACATAATGGTTAGATCAGGCTAGTATGCTGGTTAAGAGACATAATGGTCTGTTTGAGAAGGTGCTACACTGTGTACTTTTCAGATCTTGTACTTCATAGTCATAATGTACTCCAAAAAACTGTGTGGTATTACATGATCCATTACCTTAGCTCCTTCTGACTGTGACCTATCTAATAATACCAAAGAACCTTAAAGTGGTCAGTATTGGAGACATATGGAGGCAGTCTTTCATGCAACGATTCCCAAATCAGTGCCAGAACCTAGGTAAAGTGCTACGTGATGCTAGTGATGAGGATTCCAGAACAGGAAGATAGAATGTGAGATGAAGGAATGAAAGAAAGAGAAGGAGGGGAAAGAAGAAAGATGAAGGATGGAATGAAAAAAACTTTATAGGTAAATATTTAAATTTTTTTTTAGGAAGTTTCGGCATTGTAATTTTGGACTTAGGGAACATTATTTCCTCATTGCTTGGATGTGGCGCTAAGATAGTGTATATTATCTGTCTTTAATTTGTAAATATAAAGGAACTGGAGGGAAAATATAATAAAAACATAGCTCCTATCTAAAAAAAATGTGGAAGTAAAACATAATAAAAAACTGTTGTCATTTTGTGTCATCAGGTGCATGTAGAGAAATGGCCTGCGGTACATTGACTAAAATAAGTATTGTATCTTACTATGCTTGTCATCTATGTAATTCTGTCTTGTATATACAGTACTACAGTTATGTGTTTGGTTGATAATGTTACCCAGTCATAAACACCTTTACAAGTTTTTATGACAGGTAAAGTTTTCAATGTATTAGTTTTGTTTTTAGGTCTAGGTAGCAGCTGTCACTCTACACGATGTATTAAACTTAAAATATTTCCTCCACTACAGACTGGTCACAGTGGTTTAACTGATCCACTTGTCGGGTTGATGCCCCCACCTCGAGGCGTTCCTGTGACTCACCGCGCAACCCAGAGTGATATTACCTATAGGCAAGTTGAAGAGATGGAAAGTCGTGCATCTATGGACATGGAGGCAAAAAATTCAAGAATCGATAACTTACAGTGTGTAAGTACCTCGAGAAAATGTTTGTTGTTGTCGAGACTTTGGGGCAAACCGCCAGATTGTTTAATTTAATAGGTTGATGATGAGGTAATGATGATTATGGAGTTTTATCAGTCAGTTTTTAGTGTCTAACAACTAAACTGCTGTCTGTTTATCTACTCATTTGAAAAACTTGCTATGTCTTGGCCTTGTAAACATGTATCATTACATTTGTGGTGTTATAAGTCCTTCCTGGGAGAGGTCACCCACTTACCCAGCCTCATGTTTGTACAACTGAATAAGAAGACTGTAATATTGTTGTTGCTATTACAGTAATATCTCCTTCAGCCGGAATCCCTCTTATGTGGAACTCTCCGATAGCTGGAATTGAAATTTTCTCGGAAAATCGTTCCCAAAGCCGGAATTTTACGGGTTCGAGAGATGATGTATTGTGCAATTTCTGGAACTTCCGAGAAAATTTTCCGGGAATTAGGGGTTTTTCCGACTTTCTGAGAGTCGTCTCATTACCTGGAAATCTCTCATTCCTGGAAGTGTTCTGCACCAATTGTTCCGGCTAATAGCAGCGAGATATCACTGCTATTATAAATTTTACTGTTGTTATTATTATTAATGTCATTAGTATCATCATTATTATTATCATTCAGCAATTAGTGACATTTTCCTTTTCGTTACAGACAAATGAAGAACTATCTCGACAGCTGCAGACTCAAAGTAAACTCCTTGAACAGAAACAGTTACAAATTAATAAATGTATTGAAGTAGTCAAGAAATTACAGATTGAGAAGTCTAATATAGAAAAGAAAGAAGCTCGGCAAAAGTGTATGCAAAATCGATTAAGGCTCGGGCAGTTTGTCACCCAGAGGGTCGGGGCCACCTTCCAGGAAAACTGGCAAGATGGCTACGCTTTTCAGGAGATAACAAAGTGAGTCGCCTCTTGGTTCATGTTATTGCTTTTATTATCCCTGTTTTATAGTGGTTGAGGGTTGTTTCTTGTCTGTCTGTCTGAATTAATAAAATATATACATTGATTTAGTTGTGAGTGTAATGTGATAAAAGTTATTTGTGTTTGTTCAGGTGACATGGGAGGTTAAGTGGATGAATTAATGAGTGTAACAGCTTGAGTCGGTGGATTTATAGGGATGAGTAAGTAATATAGAATGTGTGACAACAAGTAATGGAAATATTCTTCTGTTTGGGAGATGTTGTGTTCTAATAGTTTTCTTTTTCCTCAAGAGTAGAAGCAAATGTGTGAGTCACCTGTCAATCAATAAGTGGGATAATCTCTTGATCAGTTCAGCAGTAACTTTTAAGATCTGTAGTGTAGATATTTAGATTTACTCACTAATGGAGGGATTCAGTGGCTCAGTGGTAGATTATTTACCTCAGGTGAATGATCATGAGCTTGTTGGCCAGTCAGAGTGAAGGATTTAATTGTGTTCACTGCTGTAAAGTGAGCACACTGGCAGGTACTTGTAGAACAACCCACAGAGCACTAGTAGGATCCTGCCAGTGGGGGGGGTGGGGTGGTGAAGTAACTATTAAAGACTTAGGATCAGCACCTGTCTGGTCATCCTACATCATAGCAGGATGAAGTTTGAATGTATAAACAAGAATAATTTTGAATAGGTGTCTTGGTTATCATCATACAGTATATATATTGTGTCTTCATAGTAACGTCAGGTCTTGTATTGTAACTAACGGTCTCTTGATGATGTCACAGACGGCAGGAGGAACTACAAGCAAATAGAGAAGAAATAGATCGGCAGCGGAAACTTTTAATGAAACGTAAACCATCGGAGGGTGGTAGTAACTCTCGGAAACGTGGGGCAAACAGTAACCAGGGGCAGGGCGGCGGGAACCTTCCGAACGGCTTGGGGGGTGACCACGACCACCGGGACCTAACCATCCAGGAATATTACGAGTCAGAAGAAATACTAAAGGTCAGTGAAGTAAGGTTGTAGTGGGGTATAGAGACAGTTAGTATACAAGTTAACCTGTTGCTATTGAAGTACCATATTCTGGGTGGATGCTTTTCTTAATTGAATACTGTTAATACTGGAGTTATCAACTGTTTCTTTGTTTTATTTTGTTTAAGAATATTTAATGTTATTGGATCATTATAGTGCTAGTCAATGTTTATACTGTATGGATCATTGGGTCAAACCATTTGCTGGAACACCATTAAAAATCTGGATGTTTACTCCTGTTCATACACATACTGTACAGTACTGTACTTGCTTTTCTCAGAACAGTGAAATTTTCTTGATTTCGAAAAGTGGATTGAGTGACATGAATAGAATTTTAATAGCTAATGATTAAACCGAGTTATGATCCGATAAATTTATTGTTGGAACTTGTAGGATGAGTGTAAGGGTTGAAGACGGTAATGGTGAGAGTAGTTAGCAGTGTATACCCTGCTGGTTCACACACTCTCTCACTCTGTTGGGATATGTGACTTGAGGGGTCGTCACTGATGCTCAAGGTTGATTCATAACTGGTGACTGTACCTTGACTATAGTTCATCCTTTATCCCTTCCACTTAAATCATCCTTAAATGTTCTGTATTAGTTCGGTAAATAAATAAAACCCTCGTTTGGTTTTATTTCATGTGAACTCTAAAAATTATTCTGGTATGTGATGTAATGTTTGGTAATTCTGTGTCTCGCCAACAGTTAAGGCAAACCGCTCTTAAAAAGGAGGATACTGACCTACAACAAGAAATGGAAAAGTTGGAGAGAGAGAGAAATCTTCATATTAGGGAACTCAAGCGAATTCATAACGAGGACCAATCAAGGTGAGCATCTGTTAGGTTGATCTTAAAACCATTATCATCTCGATCCTTTATGGCAAGTATTATCGAGTTTACCGATACTTAGTGCATGTGCATTAGTGATGTTAGTCTCACTCAACCTGCTTCTAACAACTCAAAGGTGTGTTGTAGAACATGACTCTTATGATTTGTTGTGGGGGGGATTATGGTAAGTATGTTATGCCTCACGTCTCGGGCAGCTCTAGAATGGTGAACTTTTATTGACGAGACTAACCTAACTGTTTCCATTTTAGCGATTGGTTATATTTTTTTTTATGGGTAATGATAATGTGTATGAGATGTGCAAGAAGAAATGAATGTAAATAAAGCCACCTTGCATGTCTACCTTTAGTTAATATCACCAACTTACGCCTCGTATGCATCACCCGCGTTATGGTGTAAATCTGTGAAGGACAAAACTATCCACAAGACACGATTAAACCAAAACTCAAAAGAACACGAGGAAACACGGGGATTAAAATGAGCACCAGCTGTCCCTAACTTATCCATTATGATCAGGGACATTAGATATAGGGTCCTTAAGGTCTGGGAGTCAGGATGAAGTCAACAAAAGAATGGCAACAATGTGAAGGAAAGTTTACGAGAAATTTGCTGAATAAGAGAGAACAGAAAAGCATATAATGGGTGACTAAAGATTATTGGAAGGGGATAAATAGAGACATTATATGTGTATATTAGATAAAGTGTCATATACAGTACTTAGGAGTTTGAGAGTAATGATTGAAGAACTGTTTGTGGCTGGAAGGGGGAGGTGGGCTAATGGCAATCTTGGTTATGCATTGAGAGGAGGAGTAACTTAAGAAAGATTGTGTTGTAAGAAGCATCAGAGAATAGATAATAGATGACTTAATAGATATAAGTAGAAGTATAGACAGCAGGAGGTTTAGAAAACTTGTGCTGGCAACTACAAAGATGCTCGGTATTGTCCCTACGTGAATTTAGAAAGACGGTGAATGAATCTTACGACTATTTTGGGGGCGAGGTGAAAGTTCCCAGGATAGATGTGGAAGTTTATGTAAATAGTGACCATGTAGGACCTCTGAGACATAGATCCTAGACAGTTGAAGGATGTTAATGATAATGAGGATATTGTCGAAGGATTTTCATTGTATATTTGTGGTAGGTTGTAATGGCCACTGGAATACTCTTGCAGAAGGCTAGAGTGTGGACGGCAGAGGAATTATTGCCGAGACTTTAGTAAGAAAGGAATTACGTGTATAAGATATTTTTAAAGTGACAGACAACTGAAGTAAACAAGTCCCGACCTTGACCAGATTGTTTTTCTTATTGGTGTGTCAGTGTAGGTCATGTGTCAGTGTAGGTCATGTGTCAGTGTAGGTCATGTGTCAGTGTAGGTCATGTGTCAGTGTAGGTCATGTGTCGGTGTAGGTCATGTGTCAGTGTAGGTCATGTGTCAGTGTAGGTCATGTGTCAGTGTAGGTCATGTGTCAGTGTAGGTCATGTGTCAATGTAGGTCATGTGTCGGTGTAGGTCATGTGTCGGTGTAGGTCATGTGTCGGTGTAGGTCATGTGTCAGTGTAGGTCATGTGTCGGTGTAGGTCATGTGTCAGTGTAGGTCATGTGTCAGTGTAGGTCATGTGTCAGTGTAGGTCATGTGTCAGTGTAGGTCATGTGTCGGTGTAGGTCATGTGTCAGTGTAGGTCATGTGTCAGTGTAGGTCATGTGTCAGTGTAGGTCATGTGTCGGTGTAGGCTGATCAATTCTGGCTGGGAAGAATTACATACTTATCACTGAAGAACTTGGGTGATATAAATGAATGACCACAATGTGTGAGGATGTGACAGTAGGTAGAGTGTGTGTGTCAGTGTAGTTTGCTCATTTTATCATCTTGGACTACTCCCGGTTTAAATATTCCAAGTGCTGTCCTCTTGACATATATAACTAGTGCTGAATTTAACATATCTCGATAGGTAACTACTGTAATTTAGGAAGGAAACTGTTTTTTTTTTCAACCTCAATTGTGTGAAGTGTCAATTAGCTACCCAAAGGGTGAAGGGAGAGGAGACTTTCCACTACACCACCTGAAACATTCTACGATCATCACGTGTCTGGCTGTAGCCCAACAAGCCAGGATCACTTCACTTTTAATTTTCAGTCACTTGAGCTCCAGGATGGTCACTCACCTACCCTCTCCATTCCTGGTGTTCAGATAAGTGCTGCCCTCTCACTAGTTTACACACATACTCTTATTTTCGTTATGGGCAATGCAATCTGGAGGCGGTGATTTCTGTAAGATGTTATTTAGGACATTGCATGTTTACTTACTAACAATCAAGTCCGAGGGTTCATCAACGCGTTGGTAGCTCGGACCATAAACCACCACCCGGCCGTGTGACCTAATACACAGGCCTTGCGTTGTTTAGCCAAGCAGTTTAGTTACGGGAGTTTGCAGTTTAAGGTTTGGGGCAGGACCGTGCAGGAGATACTCGTGTGGGGTTTATTTCAAGTTTTGTGAATGCTGCACTACAACTTCCATTTTGGATGAAGGTTTGGGGGTTATCCGGCCGGGGGGGGCAGACCTACATGTAGTATATTGAGGTGTTTGTGGTGTATCTTGTAGTGTTATGTTAAAAAACATCTGGGAGTTAGGTCATTTCTGGACTCACAAGGGGGTAAGTGAGTCTGTAAGCCTCAACCTCTTTGAGTTTGAGTAGTGGCAGGTTAGAGTCTTTGGTTCATGGCTGTCATGATCCAGCCTTAGTCTGATTCATAGTTTGTGCTCTTAGCTGGAATGTGTAGTATTTAATTTTTTTCTTCCAAATATGGCTGTGGAGTGTTGAGGGAGTTGCCCAGGTTGAGGACGGCCCTGGAGCTGACCATTTGATGACACAGTGCTTTACTGTGGTAGATGGCATGAATGTTTGTATCACAACAATCATATTGTCCTCACTTTGAGAGACACACATTAGCAAGTGAGGCAGATGTCCCATTTCCAGAGGATGGAGTTTCCAAATTTATTGAGGAGGCTGCCTCCCTTCCCCTGCTGGCCTCCCCTAGAAAATATAAAGTAGTTTTATAATCTTTGAAGTGTGTTTTAAATACCATATCGGTAATATCTCCGTTAGCTGGAATCCCTCATAACCGGAACTCTCCGATGGCTGGAATTGAAATTTTCCTGGAAAACCGTATCCAAAGTCGGAATTTTCTGCAGAAAATTCCGACTTTGGGAATAATTTTCTTAGGGGCACATTTTCCGGAAAATTCCGATAAATTTTTTCCAGTACCGGGAAAATTCTGGGAATGGGAGAGTTCTTTGGGGGGTTTGAGAGATGCAAATCGGGTCCATTTTCTGGAAATTTTGAGAAAAATTTTCCGGTATCCGGATAATTCTGGTGATGAGGGATTTTTTTCCAGCTTTAAGAGAGTCGTCTCATTACCCAGAAATCTCTCATTCCCAGAAGTGCTCTGCAACAATTGTTCCGGCTACTGTAATGGATATGTCACTATAAGTGTATTTTATCTATAATTTTGTTATTATTTTTAAATAGAAAGCATTACGTAAACCATTATGACACCAGATGTACAATACAGTACTTTTATACATGTGAGGACAATGTTGCTCATCTAATACAAACATTTGTACAATCTCCATGAAAATCATTAAAGTGCTGTACAGTAAACTTCCTCTCATCCAAAATGCCGAGTTGGGCGAGGGGCAGTATTGGCTGTACTGCATTGCAAGGTGGAAAATTCAAGAGGATGGGGGATTTCCAACTCAAGCTGCCTAAGAACACCGAACCTACTGTAACTTGTAGCCTAGACTCTACACCCTCAGGGTTTTTATATGCCATATGAAATCTTTTTTTAGCTGCTTAGGGTTTTAATATCTGGAAAAAGGTTAAATTTTCCTCAGTCTCTCATATGCTCTCTGCAGTGCAGCTGTACTCAGAGAGTCACCCATCAGCTGGTGTTGCTGGGCGCTCTCATATGTCTGACAGCTGTGTGTGCTGTCTTGGCACACACAACTAGAGAGAGAGATTAACATACAGATGTATTAAATTATAATAAGGGAATTACTCTTGTCAGTTGTGTGTGTGTGTGTGTGTGGGGGATTTGGGGGCAAAATAATTGGAATAATCATAAAGGCAAGAAAGAGACAGAGAGAGAGAGAGAGAGAGAGAAAGAGAATCATCATTGAGGCTTTTATAGATGTGTGTCTGGCTGTGTGAACGAACTTCCCTCAACAAAGATGGTTGTTGAAATGTTTATGGAGAGGCATAGAAGGTCATACACAGCTTTAGTGGACATAGTGGTAGCCTGTGACTGTTGATAAGAAAAGGTGATAAACCCAAACAAACATTAACCTGATCTGACCTTTCGAGTACTGGAGGCAATTTAGGGTTACAGTGGAGAGCAAGATCTGTGTTGGATCAGGCTGAGGTGTGAGCGGTCAATATAAAAGTTGAAAGTGAGGTGCAGTGAGGGTGTTGGGTCAAGATGCATCACGAGGGGAGAGTGGCAGAGCCCATGGTAAGAGAAGTGAAACAGAAGGAAGTATAGATGATGATGATGTTTGCTGTGTGGTAGATGGGGCAGTAGAGTGACAAGATCAGTACAAGTTAAGGTCGGATGTGAGATCAGACGGTGTAAAGAGTGGTGACTGGAGGAAGAGAATTTAGAGAGAGGTTCCAAAAGACAGACAGCTGGCTAGTAATAGGTGGCAAATTGCTTTAAGGAGTTACAGTATTTTAAGACCTCCATATTGCTCTTATAGACTTGTGAGGTCCACTGGTTTGTATTATATGACTGAAAGTTTGTGAGTACTGTATATTTTTAGTGTACAGAGCAGTAGTGTACAATTCTTGAAGTGTACAAGATCATTATGGCAGATTTTTATCAGTGAAGATTTACTCATAGATTATTTTGTATGAATTTCACCATGTTTATTATTTTATAGATTAACTAGTGCATATTTTAATATTTTTAGATATATAATTTTTTCACAAGGAAGGAATTATCACAATTTTTTATTCTTTATGTAATAAGTAATGGTGTATCTTTGCTTGTGTTTCATAAATGGTCACATGCAACAGAGTCCTCTTGGCTAGAAATCATAGCAAGTGAGTGATGGAAAGCACATTGATGCTAGTTTGTTTTACTTGCTGCTTTGTTCTTCTGTGTTTACTTGTGCGCCAACCTGTGTTGTACTGTGTGTGTTCATGAGGGACCTTTACTATATGTGTACATGCCAGAAGCTGTCATATTGTGTGTACTGAAGTATGTTTTCTTGTGGGTGCTGGATGTGTGTGTGTGTGTGTGTGTGGACTGTATTGTATTCAAGTAAGATGGTTTAGTTGGTGTGGTTTTGTGGGATTACTCAGCACCAAATGGGAATGAAATTGTAGTTCTCTTCCTGTTGGCCTGAGTCATGGGGGTGGTAGACGTCACTCTCTTTCTGCTGGGGGTAATCACTAGACTGATCAAGAAGGCATTGGATCACATCAAGATTAACCCGGCACTAATTTATTTCACCTGACGATTAAACACCCTAATGTTATCTAGGGAGGGGGGGGGAGGGAAGTTAGATTAGTTTAGTGTTAGCATTAGGAGTTGGCTAATTTCCACATGCTCTCAGGCTGCCTACAGAAGCTAGGCATAATACATCTTAGGTGGCAATATAGTTGAGGCATATTAGAATTTTTCATCCCTACAGTAGATAGATATTATAACATTATACACCAATACAGTATGATTTTTTTTCCCTAAGGTTGATTGGTATTTTTTGTGTTTATTCATCTGGGGGGTGTGTGTGTGTGCGTGCGTGCGTGCGTGCGTGTGTGCGTGCGTCGGCACTGATGGTGTAAAGTGTTCAGTTTGTTTGGATTCCCTGGGCTCAGTGAATTTTAATTCTCGGAAGAAAATTCATGAGACTATGTGACTTGTTATGGGTGATTATTATGTGGACGTAATCCTTTAGTACCACGTATTGGGTAATCATCCTCGTATTCTCTCAGTAGTTCAGTATAATAAGAATGATTATTTAGAATTTGATCATCATCATCATCATCATCATTAGTGTTTTATGGCCATTTTTCTCACTCATTCTAGTGATTCAAGATGACCTCCTCACTTCCAGAACTTGTTGATAATAAGGTTTAAGAAATTTGACAAAAACTTACCTACAAGTTATTGAACTGTTTTTCTCAAGTGTTGTGGCTAACTTAGGTTTGTTGGTCAGTTTTTACATTATTGCTCTTTTAGATCAGTTTAAGGTATGTTAGTAAGTTTGGTTTGTAGATCATCCAGTTTTTTTTATACAAGGTTTAGGGGAGGTTAGATTAGATTAGGTTAGGTTAGGATATTAAGTTTGTAAGTCCTGTGTACTGTGTGTGTATGTATGTATGTATGTATGTATGTATGTATGTATGTATGTATGTATGTATGTATGTATGTATGTATGTTGCTGTAATCTCAAAACTGTTCTTAATATTTTCTACATATATCAACTAACAATTATTCCTCTAATGTTACAAACTGCATCCCTTTCATCAAACATTTTGTGCACTTGCTGGACTAGAGTGCCAATATATGCAACTTAACTTTAAATATCTATGGAGCAACTGCACTATACTGGCATGCAGAAGTCTACAAGGTGTCTCAGAAAAATATAACCACAATACCTTACAGATATTTGTGGAGTGTCGCATCAATGCTTATACGACAGCAACATTGTCGTCACTTTTTGATGTGCGAGATCTGCCACAAGTGAGGAAAGTGTTGCTGTTTTAATACAAGCATTCACTCGATCTCAAGAAAAATATGTAACGTGGCCTGGTGTTGTGTGTGTGTACAGTACAGTAGTATATATATTTCTGAGGCATCTCGTATATGGAGGTACCAGGATTGGATTCTCGATGCACGAATGGCTTTGTGGTTTTATATAATTAATGTGCAGTGTTGACGTTTACTGTGTTGTGATGAGTCTGCATGTTGATCAGTTTTGAAGTGGGAGATATACCTGATAAATTCAAAATGGCGTGAGTACTTAAGCGTGAAATTAACCATGCTAAGCTTTTCATCGTTCGATTTTGTTGTTTTTCATTGCAAGTTTCCTTCTTTTTTAAGTGTGCGGTACTATCTGGTATTTACATAGTTCACATTCTCTGTTGTTTTTCATTTATATTCATAGTTGATAGACTCTCCCCACAACCAAAGCTGCATCATCAAACTAGACCCGGTCCACACATCAACAGTCCACTCTTATTCTTACACCCAAGTTTTTCTTCACAATCGACGTTAAGGAGTCGTATTAGGGGTTCAGAGTTAGTGTCATATATACAGTACTGTTTTGTGTTAGTGAATAAAGAGGTTTATAGTGTATATGGACCTAAGAAAGTCATGTTAACTTTGAATTGCTGAACTTAAACATTTTCTAAAGATTCAGCTGTGTATGTGATGGAACTTTAACCTCCCTGGCATGATGTTAGTTTTTTTAAGTACATAAATATATTATAAACCTCTGTAAACACACACAGAGGTCAGCAATAAACCTCCTAATATGACCCCTCAACAGGCAGCTGAGCACATCTAACTCTTCCTCGCTATCTAAAGCTTCAAACTTCTTCCTCGGGCAAACATCTCACTTGTCTTGTGTTTTATTGTGAGCGTCGCCCTCGTGTCTTACTTCCAAAGCCTTGTTGTGTGTTAAAAACCCATAAATTATCCCCTACCTTACTGAACATCACACCTCTCAAAATATGTCAATGAAGTTGTGAGAGTTTTTTATAGTTTTTATAGTTGGTGTGTGAGGAATGTTTACACTGAGTCCGGCATCATGTGTAGGATCCCTTGAGTCAAGTTAATCACTTCCTCCCCCCCCCTTTTGGATGTGGTAAATGCAAGTCATTGTGTTGGTGTGTTACTGCTGCTCTCATAAGTCTTGGGAATATTTCTTAAAAGATTAATGACTAAAACACTATAAGGAATTCTCTCTTAAAAGATTTGTATTTAATTCAGTATAGGATACATGATACTGTATTTTGTTTTCTAATAAGTCATGTTTATATATATACTGTTACCTGTATTTGCTTTGGAGTAACTTATGTCTTGGAACAAGTGATGATATGTAGACTATAGTAAATGTAAATATTATAATCATCCCAACACTCACAACAGGGTATTGCAGATTCAACTCCATTAAAATTTGCTAAAGCTTCTAGTTTGTATAGATGAATACCAGTTATCAGAACAGGATGTTGAGAGTTTGATTCTATTGAACAGTAGGTGAGCTTCTAGTGTAGGTAGATGATAGGGGATCCAAATTAGGGGTTGTGAGCTAAAAGTTTTGCCTGTTGTTCCTTACAGAATCCTTCAATCCCAGTCTTCACCCCGCAACCCTCATGACATGTGAGTAGTCTCCGAGGGAGTGAGATAAATAACCCCAGGGGTGGAGGGATTGATGGTAGTCTACTAGGGAGTAAGATTTGGTACTAAGGTTGGGCAGAGCTTTGAGGGGATGAGGTATGCTAGGCAGGTGACACTCCTGGTAAGCTTGGGGTTATGGAGACTTATCTTTGGAGGGAATTACCTGCTTCTTTAAAATACTTGCCTTTGATTGGAGGATTTCTACATTATTAAGGAATTAATTTTAGAATGCAAGTTGTACATTTCTCATATGTGGAACCTAGACACATGTACAGTACTTAACATGAAGGCTGATTCTTTTGTCTTCTATTACTTCACAAGCCAAGCCTCCAGGAATAATTTTTTCATCATCATTATTATTATTATTACTGTTGTTGTTGTTATAATTGTTTGCCCTTGGTTCTGGCCACCCTGCACTATAGCGGGAAAGGGCCTGCATAACTGAACCAAAAGTATTAGTACAGTATACAGTAGAATATATTATATTGGGTGGGGTAGTGCCTTAACTGTCTGGCTGTGTTGAGGGTGGGTTAGTCTGGCTGGCTGTGTTGAGGGTGGGTTAGTCTGGCTGGCTGTGTTGAGGGTGGGTTAGTCTGGCTGGCTGTGTTGAGGGTGGGTTAGTCTGTCTGGCTGTGTTGAGGGTGGGTTAGTCTGTCTGGCTGTGTTGAGGGTGGGTTAGTCTGGCTGGCTGTGTTGTGGCTGAATGATACAATACTGTTTAGGAAAATTTTGTAATAAGTATTTTTGTAATTTGAATAACAACACTTGGAGCAGTTATTGTGATAATACAAAGATGATGCAGGGAGCACTTTGGGTCTTGTTATTGGTCAGATGAAAAGTCAGGTTGTGTTTCTTAGTAGAGAATTTTGCTTTTCTTTGTACTGTAGGTCATAGATGGCTTTTACTAGGCAGTGGTTTTAATGCCATCAGGTGGCCTCCATCACTAAAACGTACATGTTGCTGGCGACCATTCTGATTGGTTAAACCAGACCAACATCCGCTGGTGAAACTTTATGTTGCCGGCAACCGTTCTTAGTATTTAACCAAACTACCATAACTAACTTAACCTAAATAAATGTAGCCTAACAAGATCAAGGAACACCCATTAGTTAGTAATGTGAGGCGAAGGAGCGCTGCTGGTTGCCATCAACACAATGTTTTAGCGACGGGAGCTTCTCTTATTTTAACACCATAACAGTCACTTCGTTTACTATTTTACATTTTGTCTTTGAACTGTACAGTATCTTGAAGAATTATTGTCCCACATATACTGTAGTACTCAGTGTGTTAGATCACATTCTCCTGTCCCTCTTAATTTTATCGTGAGTGATTTTTATATAAAGAAAATTTGATGCCTGGTTATCAATATTGAAAATGTTCTGTGCAATTAAGATATTGATTAATATTTAAAGTAAGCGTTACAGTCACATGCAGCCTGTAAACATTCATTACAGCGACTAAATTGTTGGTTTTCAGTGTTGTTGTACTGCATGTATCTCATTGGTGGGAGGGAGTCATCATATGCCTGTGATAAGTTCCTGTCAGTGTCTTATGAAAGAACAGGCGTATGTCTTTAATATACAGATTGGTCTTTATCACTGTATATTAAAGTACAGGTATGTGCTCTCAGAACACCGATCGGTCTCTTATCACTGTATCTTAAGAAAATACAGGCATGTGCTGTAAAATATTGTACAGTAGTAGGTGTTTCTTGGTGTTGATAAATTTACCTGTTTGGTATTGGGATTGTGTGCTGAAACCTGGCTCTTTCTCAGGCGGTGGTTTGGTGGTTTCACCCAAGCTGCCAGATGTTTGCATCTTTCTAAACCTGTATCAGAGTAAGCACACATCCTTCTCACTTTTAGTATATCTGTCCAGACCAAAGTAACGTAAGAGTGGTCATCGAGGTAATGAGGTGACTATCCTAATAGTAAGAATGGTCAGTAAGATAGTTTTTGTCATGAGTAAGAGTGGCGACTATCCTGGTAGAGAGAACGCTGGTCACTACAGTAAGGTAGCGGGGTGGCTTGAATGACATCTGTAACATTAGTCTTTATTTTTCTTTATCAAATTTCAAAGCCGAGAAATGGAAGAAATTTTTTAAGAGAAATACACTTGTCCCCCTCAGCTTGTAGGAGTGTGTGGATGGTAGGTACAGTACTCAAGGATAAGCACTTAACAAAAATACTACTAGTTGCTATTTAAAGATGAGATGGTATGAACTATTAGACACCACTTGTTGGAGTAATGTCATCACGTCCTCAATTGCCTTTTTGACAATCATAAATAAAGACAAGATGTTCATATATATATAAAATAAAAATAAAAGTTACTTGGGTTAACAGCTGTTGTTTAATACCAAGTTCTCTTATTGCAGATTCAACAATCATCCTGTTTTAAATGATCGGTACCTGTTGCTCATGTTATTAGGAAAAGGAGGTTTTTCAGAAGTTCATAAGGTAAGTCTAAACATCATCCTCAAACAACACACTTTTTCTGTTTCATCCGAGTCGATTTTTGTCACATGTTCTGTTAAGCTCGGTTTTAATTTATAAGTACAGCTTTCTCACTTTACACACAAGCACTTAACAATTTTTATAAGTTGGAGGAGTTTCAATGTGATTATTTATTGAGGGACATACGAGGAAGAACGGTAATAGTAAATGGTGTTAATTCTGTAGGTTTTGAGAAAGGTGTTTTAGTGATGGAAGTAACATAGCAATCATTCCCTTTTTCAGGCATTTGATCTGAAGGAGCAGCGATACGTAGCCTGCAAGGTCCACCAGTTAAACAAAGATTGGAAAGATGATAAAAAGGCCAATTATATCAAGTGAGTAATGCAGGGAGAGGCGCTGGTGCTTCTTGGTCTTGCTGTGGTGTAACGAGTCTAACCTGGTCACTTCAGTTCAGTTTTTGTCACTTAAATTGTCATATGAGTTTACATTGTTGCAGTGTGTGTGTGTGTGTGTATAGTCAGTGCAGGTATACGGTCATCATGTATTTAGACATTGCAGGTACACAATATACTGTATAATAAAAAAGTCTAGTTGTTTCTCAAGTATAATGAAAAGACAAACTTAAGAGTTGTTCGAGAGGTGTAAATAAAACCAGCTGGTACAATTCCTTAACTCTTGCTTGCCTTACAGACACGCCATACGAGAGTACAATATTCAGAAGAAATTAAACCATCCCCGTATAGTCAAACTCTACGACGTGTTTGAGATCGATGCCAATAGCTTCTGTACTGTCCTGGAGTACTGCGATGGTCACGACCTAGACTTCTACTTAAAACAGGTTGGGGATCTATGCTTTTCACTGTCTTAAATCACGGTCAAATAAAAGTGGTATAGTACACATCACCACTCGAGTCGTGATATAGTTAAGTTTATACAGTAAATATATAAAATTGGTATTATTTAAATACCAGGTATCGTCGTATAGTCAATGGTGGGGTAAATTTTTTCCATGACGCTGTTTTTGATGTTATGTAATGTGTGTTGTATTCCGCCTCTCGCCCCGACAGCACAAGACCATACCGGAGCGTGAAGCGAGATCTGTGATTATGCAGGTGGTATCCGCACTTAAGTACCTGAATGAGATCAAACCGCCAATCATTCATTATGATCTCAAGCCAGGTAAGAAATTTGCTTGGGTAAATGTGTATTGTGTTGTGCCTCTCAAGTCACTATATTTGGGGAACGTCGACATTGTTTGTTTTTTTTAACCTCTAAAGTTCCCTACGTTAATAACTTTTATTCATCTATTGCCTCTCTATCTCTCTTTACAAAATTTTTAAGAAGGTGATTATTCCCCAGAAGATTTATTCATAATGTCCGTGAAGATTCTGTATGTGTGTGTGTTTTTAATCCATTACCCACGGATAAATGTACTCAGGGTGTCCGTACAGATAGAACTAAATGAGGGTAGGGTTAAGGATTGTAGGGATTAAGAAATAAGATAATTTATTTTTATTTTGTGTTTTGAAATTTCTCTTATATCCTTAATCTAACCCTAGTCAACTCTAATCCTAAACTCTTGTATCAATAAATATTTTCTCTTTTTCCCGAACTACGTAATACCAAACCTTACTCCATGTGGTTGACCATTTACACGGACCACTTTGGAGAACCACACGTAACAGGAAAACATTTATCTTATCAGACTTAACCTAACCATGTCTCTCTTTCCCTCTCTGTCTCTCTTACAAGTTTTAGAGTAACCATGTCTCTCTCTCTCTCTCTGTCTCTCTTACAAGTTTTAGAGTAACCATGTCTCTCTCTTTCTCTCTGGCAAGTATTAGAGTAACTATGTGTCTCTCTCTCTCCCTCTCTCTGACAAGTTTTAGAGTAACCATGTCTCTCTTTCTCTCTCTCTGGCAAGTATTAGAGTAACCATGTGTCTCTCTCTCCCTCTCTCTCTGACACAGGAAACATATTGTTGACTGATGGTAATATTCTCGGGGAAGTGAAGATCACGGACTTTGGTCTCAGTAAAGTGATGGACGAGGATAGCTACCATCCTGACTATGGGATGGACCTCACCTCTCAGGGGGCTGGCACTTACTGGTGAGTCCCAAATGATTGTGTTTGTATGTCTAAAAGTTATAGTAAAGTGTGTTTGTGTCTTAAAGTTGTAGTAAATTGTAATGATTATGTTTGTATGTCTAAAAGTAATAGTAAAATGTGTGTCTGATTGTTTGTTCATTACTGTATGTCTAAAAGGTGTAGTGAAGTGTTATGATTGTGTTTGTATGTCTAAAAATTGTAGTAAAGTGTGTTTCTGATTGTTTGTATGTCTAAAAGTTGTAGTAAAGTGTAATGCTTGAGATTGTTTGCATGACTAAAAGTGTACAACAATTGAGGCCTGCAATGGAACAACGTCCCAAGCAGCAATAAAAAAAAATATAAAAAGAAAAATGGCAGTAAAGTTTGTCAACTTATAAAATGAAGCTAAGAACCTTTAGCTTTGTGTGTGTTGTTAAGTATTAATCAACAGGCATGATTTCATAATTTATTTACAGAAGAACTTTAGTTTGTGCGGATTCTAAACCTTGTTCCAATAACGGAATCATAACACATAATAGAAACAATCAACAGGAAGAAGAACACGGAAAACAACACTCACAGTCATGCATCGTACACCACGATTTCATCGTCAAATTTCCTCACAGGTTTCTGAATGTAAGCGTGTGGCGGACAGTACCTTGTTGTGGTGAACTGGCCAGGCTCAGTGTAGAGCTAACCATCATGGCACATTCTACCTATGTACTTGAGGTACTCTGAGCCTCAAGGACATTAGCCCCAAATACCTCACAGTTGGGGGGAAGACAATGCTTTATGAAAATGTTTTGGAGTCTGTAGGTGCTGGTTACCTTATTCTACTGCAGGCCTTAATTATCTATGTATATTTCATGTGCAGTGACTTTACCCATTATTGATAGTAATTCTATGTTACTGTAGAGATGTAATATTATTCTCTCCCACAGGTATCTACCACCAGAGTGCTTCATTGTAGGGAAAACGCCGCCCAAGATCTCTAGTAAAGTAGATGTGTGGTCTGTGGGCGTAATATTTTATCAGTGCCTATACGGGAAGAAGCCGTTCGGTCACAACCAAAGCCAGGCAACCATATTAGAGGAAAATACCATCCTTAAAGCCACAGATGTACAGTTTCCACCCAAACCAGTGGTCAGCAATGAGGCCAAGGTGAGTCTTGTTCTCTTTTTTAGTGTACAGCAGGAAAAATATATATAACTGACAAATGCTCACTAACACGACCTGAACTTTAATGTATTACTTCACTGTTGGAGCTTTTATGTATTTCTATGTATACAGTAAATTTGTTCCTTGCACCACCACTTTTATTTCTCACAGCTTAAGAAAATGTTTGTGGTTACTAAAATTATTGTTTTCATATATTGATAGTGTGTCTTAATGTGGGCTACTGTCGGCCAGTAATTTAATCTTTATAATCTTCACTTTCAGCAATTCATCCGGTGTTGTCTAGCATACCGTAAGGAGGACCGCAATGATGTGTTGACGCTGTCTTCCAATCCTTATCTTTCACCACCACTTCCGAAGAGTGGTCGGCAGTCAGCCAATAGTCAGCAACAAGCAGCAGCAGCAGCTTCTGCTGTAGCACAGGCAGCAGCTGCTCAACAGCAGGCGGGATACCAACAACCCTTCACTACTGGTCTATTGGGCCTTGGGAACATACACTCTTCCACCAGCTCATAATGACACGCCACCCGCAGTAGGGGGCACGTCCAGCCCCGACACCCCCTACCTGGCTCCACCCTACGTCACTCGGCCCTCTTCATTCGTCACCACCTGCCTCCTGCCGCCCATTGCCCACAACTGCCACCAACAACAGTATGGCCGTATTGACCACAGGGCTTAAGTTTGTCAGCAGTGATCCATGATGCAATTAGTCAGGTCCCTCACAGATGGAAATTTCATGTGCCAGTTACCTCAGCTTTCAGTAGCCATGACAGTAAATCTAAGATATAGCTCTGCAGTAGGATTTTTATGGACAATGGATATATCTTTTATTCATGATTTTTAACACTTCAATTGGGTAGAACTGATTTGCAAATTAGGGAAAATAAGTTTTAATGAATATACTGCATGCAGTAATTCATATTTTTTATACTATTTTCCAACACATAACACATGAGCAGTTTTAATAGTTTGAGAGACACTGCAGTACCCATGTGTGGCATGAGGGTGGTAAGGGCAGGCTGGTGATGGAGTGGAGTGGGAGGATGTGGGCATTGGGGCAGAGGCTCAACACAGCACTAGAAACTCCTGTGTTCCTACTTGCTGCCACAACCAACTACTGTTCTTGTGCTCTGCCTGCCAGATAAACTCTGCAGCAACAGAGCAAACAGTCAAGGGAGTGTGTCAGTGTGCAGCTGGAAAATATTCCATTGTGAATTTTTTTTTCTTTAATATATAAAGAGTTCTATTCTATCAAGCCAAAGTTGTGACTGAATTATGCCAGAGTCAAGAATATACGTACCAGTTACTGTTACTAGAAAGTCAGCTATGTGGTACCCAGTGTGATGGTGCACTGTGGAGAGAGTGACTCCAGTTGTAGGAACACAAACAGTGAGTGTGGTGCTCCACTTCTGCAGTGTCGACCATTGCGGGTGGTTCGGGCTCAGCGGAGGGCAGCAGTCGTGTTGCTTCCACACTGAGTGGCGACAACGGGTAGGGTGGCGGAAGTGATCGTTGTGAGCCACCGACCGATGTGATGTGATATTGTGTAGTCGTGAGTGTGAACTCGGGGTTCCGGCGCACAGGTGTAGGTTGTGGGAGACAGCAGCAGCCGGTAGCCAGGTGTGATATATATAGTACCACTTTTAAGAAAGTGAGATAATACATTAATGTGACTTTCAGGAACAGTATGTGTTAACTTGCAGATAAGCTGTTCTATGGATGTTGCCTAACAACATTGCAGCCCAGTTGTGGCCACAAATATAATGGGAGAAACGTGAACCGTCAAAAATTGCTGGAACCGTATCCTGAAGTATCCGTATCACTAAATTTGTCGAGGCCTCTGGAATATTTGTTGAAAAAAAAAAACAATATTATGAGATTTTTGAAAAAGAAAATTGTTAGTTACTGAATCTTCATAAGTTTGGTGCTACAGAATTTAAAATGAAGAAATTCACAGCTTATATTATTATTTTCTGAAATGGAAATAAAATATCCGAGAGGGAATCCATGAATTCATTCCTGTGGAAATAGGCTCTATACACAAGCATTACATAGCTCCCACCTTTATTCATGTACATTGTTTACTGATATTCCTCTTCTGCTGCAAGTGCCGTGTATTTATGCAGAACACAGATACAGCGTTCCCGTTGTGGTGCGAACGAACGGCAACCCACATTAATAGTCTACAGATCACCACAGCTTATCTTGATTATATTGTATGTATTTTAATGTCAATTTTTAGACATGTGAGATATTACCTATAGTTTTGTATGTGTTGATTTTTTCTAATTTTCATTTTTTATTTATATATTTTTTTTTCTCATTTTCGGTTGTCCTCCTGAAAGCATTTTAGATTTGATTTTGTGGTGGTCAGCTATAAATTAAATTGCAAGTGGTTGGACTACGCCAACCCCTCCAACATGTAATTCGCTAACATAGTCACACAGAGCTGGGGAGATGGTGGTGGTGGATTTAGTATTGTTGTCCTGTTCTCGACAGTCTGGTGAAATGTGAAGTAGTAGGAGCAAAAATAAGGTTCATTCATGTTTTATTCTTTTTATTTAAAACTATTTAATTTTTTTTATTTGTGTGTCAAAGAATGTGAAGACCTTTTTCTTAAATTCTTGAAGGCTCTCATCTTCTGTTCACAGGTTTGAAGAAAATAAGATCATAAAGAGTTAGGAAAAGTCTTATGTCCTGCCGCTTCATCCTGATGTATTATGTTCCTAATTATGCCTTGATGAATCGGGATGAATGTGCATTTTGTGACACGTGTAAGTAATGAGCTCAACGTTCCATGCCAGTGTTTGACAGAATGAGAATGAATGTGTATTTTATGATGTTTGCAAATACTGACCTGGACATTTTAATGATAATCTTTGACAGAATCTAGGTGAATATGTTTTTTTTGTGATATTTGCAAAATATTGTACTGTACTGTGCTGGATGTTTTAAGCCAATCTTTGACAGCCAGAGGTTAGTGTTTTGGGCAGTCCTAGGATGATTACATTGTATGGAACAAGGAACTTAAAATTCTGAATATACTGTATATAAGATAGAAGTTAATAAAAATAACTTGAATTTGTTCAGATAAGGATAAATATAATGTCTGACAATGGACACGTCTAAATCTAACAATGATGGTATTTTGACCTCCAAGAATTTTATATCATAGTTTTTATCAGTTGACTTTCATGGCTGCTTCAAGGTCTGGCCATAAGACAGTGTTATAACCAGCACGTACAAGAAAACTAAAGAAGAAAATTCTGTTGAGGTAAACCAGTTTTAGGGTAACGTCTTGAGGTGTGGAGGGACATGACTTGTTCCCCTTCCTTGTCAATCAGAAGATGGGAGTCCAATGAGTCTCAACTCAATATTGTTCTTGCCCAATTTTCTCAACCAGTTCAGAAGGTAGGAAGGTACTAGTTTAAATTTGCCCCCCTTAGTTTCCTCAGCTCACACCGGTGTATTTTTTATTATTATTATTTTTTTTTTACCTTTTTTCTTTTTTTCTTTTTTTTCGGTCAAAGATTAAAACCGCCATTTGGTCTGTTGCCGGCCATTGTGATAGTTATCGCTCTATACTTGTAAAATTCTATCATGTTATGTAAAATGTAATGCATAAATAAATCAATAAAGCAACTTGGCCAATTTATTACGGATTTGTAACCAACCATATAACAAATGTTCGCGTCAAGGAAATGCTCTTGCCTTTTCCGTCTCATCAAAAGATAGCTAAGAATGACAGGTACAGTAGTAACTAAAACTGTTAAATACCAAAACGGAAATGGGGTAATTAGGGCCAGAAAAGGGGGGGGGGATAATTAGGCCCAGACAAAGGTCAATTAGTGCCAATTAGGACCAGAAAAAAGGGTGAGTACAGGGATGTAATTTCTCAGTCTTTTCCGTTGTTTTTCCTATTGTTTTAGGCGACCCACGGCTAATCGCGTAGATCTGTTGAGAAAAATTTATGGGGTGAGGTGGTATAACTATGACAAGAGAAAGATTTGACAATAAATAACAATAATTGCCCCTCAAGGTTGAGTATTGTTTATTTTGCATTCCATTCTTCGATTCTTTAATATTTCATTGACCATAGATCAATGACGTCATACAATGCCACTATCATAGCATTATAATACGTCCCTCCACCCTATCCACTTGATCCACTCTAACCCCATTTTATTCTGTAACCTGTGCCATATTTCATAGTTGTACAGGCAACTCAGTGGGGCATTTTTGTGTCCCCAGGAGGTCAGGGTTGGTTGCTGCCCTGGGCTGACATGCTGACTGCTGCCCTGGGCTGACGTGCTGACTGCTGCCCTGGACTGACGTGCTGCCCTGGACTGGCGGTTGACTGCTGCCCTGACTGGCGTGCTGACTTCTGCCCTGACTGCCATGCTGACTGCTGTCCTGGACTGACGTGCTGCCCTTGACTGACGCGGTTGACTGCTGCCCTGACTGACGTGCTGACTGCTGCCCTGGGCTGACGTGATGCCCTGACTGGGTTGATTGGACGACGTGCTGACTGCTGCCCTGGACTGACGTGCTGACTGCTGCCCTGGGCTGACGTGCTGACTGCCCCTGACTGACGTGCTGACTTCGCCCTGACTGGGTGACTTCTGCCTGACTGCGGGTTGACTGCTGCCCTGGACTGACGTGCTGACTGCTGCCCTGGACTGCGCGGTTGAGCTGCCCGGGCTGACGGCTGACTGCTGCCCTGACTGACGTGCTGACTGCTGCCCTGGGCTGACGTGCTGACTGCTGCCCTGGACTGCCATGCTGACTGCTGTCCTGGACTGACGTGCTGACTTCTGCCCTGACCGGACGCGGCTGACTTCTGCCCTGGACTGACGTGCTGACTGCTGCCCTGACTGACGTGCTGACTGCTGCCCTGACTGACGTGCTGACTGCTGCCCTGGGCTGACGTGCTGACTGCTGCCCTGACTGACGTGCTGACTGCTGCCCTGGGCTGACGTGCTGACTGCTGCCCTGACTGCCATGCTGACTGCTGTCCTGGACTGACGTGCTGACTTCTGCCCTGGACTGACGTGGCTGACTGCTGCCCTGACTGACGTGCTGACTTCTGCCCTTGACTGACGCGGCTGACTGCTGACTGAGGCTACATCACCACCACCACCACCAGATGACTGAGGCTACATCACCACCACCACCACCAGATGACAGGAGGCTACATCACCACCACCACCACCAGATGACAGGAGGCTACATCACCACCACCACCACCAGATGACTGAGGCTACATCACCACCACCACCACCAGATGACAGGGCTACATCACCACCACCACCACCAGATGACAGGAGGCTACATCACCACCACCACCACCAGATGACAGGAGGCTACATCACCACCACCACCACCAGATGACAGGAGGCTACATCACCACCACCACCACCAGATGACAGGAGGCTACATCACCACCACCACCACCACACCACCATTACCACCACCAACACCAGATGACTGAGGCTACATCACCACCATCACCACCACCACAAGATGACAGAGGCTACATCACCACCACCACCACCAGGTGAAAGGAGGCTACATCATCACCACCACCACCAGATGACAGGAGGCTACATCATCACCACCACCAGATGACAGGCTACATCACCACCACCACCACCAGATGACAGGAGGCTGCATCATCACCACCACCACCAGATGTCTGAGGCTACATCACCACCACCACCACCAGGTGAAAGGAGGCTACATCATCACCACCACCACCAGGTGACAGAGGCTACATCACCACCACCACCACCAGGTGACAGAGGCTACATCACCACCACCACCACCAGATGACGAGGCTACATCATCACCACCACCACCAGGTGACAGAGGCTACATCACCACCACCACCACCACCAGATGACAGAGGCTACATCACCACCACCACCACCACCAGGTGACAGAGGCTACATCACCACCACCACCACCAGGTGACAGAGGCTACATCACCACCACCACCAGATGACAGGAGGCTACATCACCACCACCACCACCAGATGACTGAGGCTACATCACCACCCACCACCAGGTGACAGAGGCTATCATCACCACCACCACCAGGTGACAGAGGCTACATCACCACCACCACCACCACCAGATGACAGAGGCTACATCACCACCACCACCACCACCAGGTGACGAGGCTACATCATCACCACCACCACCAGGTGACAGAGGCTACATCACCACCACCACCACCAGATGACAGGCTACATCACCACCACCACCACCAGATGACAGGAGGCTACATCACCACCACCACCACCAGATGACAGAGGCTACATCACCACCACCACCACCAGGTGACAGAGGCTACATCACCACCACCACCACCAGATGACAGAGGCTACACCCACCACCACCACCAGGTGACAGAGGCTACACCACCACCACCACCAGATGACAGAGGCTACATCACCACCACCACCACCACCAGGTGACAGAGGCTACATCACCACCACCACCACCAGGTGACAGAGGCTACATCACCACCACCACCAGATGACAGAGGCTACATCACCACCACCACCACCAGATGACAGGAGGCTACATCACCACCACCACCACCAGGATGACTGAGGCTACATCATCACCACCACCACCAGATGTCTGAGGCTACATCACCACCACCACCACCAGGTGAAAGGAGGCTACATCATCACCACCACCACCAGATGACAGAGGCTACATCACCACCACCACCACCAGGTGACAGAGGCTACATCACCACCACCACCACCAGGAAAGGAGGCTACTCACACCACCACCAGATGACAGAGGCTACATCACCACCACCACCACCAGGTGAAAGGAGGCTACATCATCACCACCACCACCAGATGACAGAGGCTACATCACCACCACCACCAGATGACAGAGGCTACATCACCACCACCACCACCAGGTGAAAGGAGGCTACATCATCATCACCACCACCAGATGACAGAGGCTACATCACCACCACCACCACCAGGTGAAAGGAGGCTACATCATCATCACCACCACCACCAGATGACAGAGGCTACATCACCACCACCACCACCAGGTGAAAGGAGGCTACATCATCATCACCACCACCAGATGACAGAGGCTACATCACCACCACCACCACCAGGTGAAAGGAGGCTACATCATCACCACCACCACCAGATGACAGAGGCTACATCACCACCACCACCACCGTGAAAGGAGGCTACATCATCACCACCACCACCAGATGACAGAGGCTACATCACCACCACCACCACCAGGTGAAAGGAGGCTACATCATCATCACCACCACCAGATGACAGAGGCTACATCACACCACCACCACCAGGTGAAAGGAGGCTACATCATCACCACCACCACCAGATGACAGAGGTTACTCATCACCAACACCAGATGATTGAAGAAGAAATTCCAAATATATGCTGATGTTGTTATTTGGGAGCTACTATAGTATGTGGTCTACAGAGCTGGAGCTACTATAGTATGTGGTCTACAGAGCTGGAGCTACTATAGTATGTGGTCTACAGAGCTGGAGCTACTATAGTATGTGGTCTACAGAGCTGGGCACCTGGTAGCCAGCAGTGCAGGCTGGAGCTACTATGTCGCCGGTCTGCAGGCTGGAGCCACTATGGTATGGAGCTACTATAGTATGTGGTCTACAGAGCTGGAGCTACTATAGTATGTGGTCTACAGAGCTGGAGCTACTATAGTATGTGGTCTACAGAGCTGGAGCTACTATAGTATGTGGTCTACAGAGCTGGAGCTACTATAGTATGTGGTCTACAGAGCTGGAGCTACTATAGTATGTGGTCTACAGAGCTGGAGCTACTATAGTACGTGGTCTACAGAGCTGGAGCTACTATAGTATGTGGTCTACAGAGCTGGAACTACCATAGTATGTGGTCTACAGAGCTGGAACTACCATAGTATGTGGTCTACAGAGCTGGAGCTACTATAGTATGTGATCTACAGAGCTGGAACTACTATAGTATGTGGTCTACAGAGCTGGAGCTACTATAGTATGTGGTCTACAGAGCTGGAGTTGTGTCTATCGGGCTATTTACACTGTAGCATCCATTAACATAACCGTGGTACTTTAGGTTAAGTATCTGTAGTTCAGAGCCTAATGTGTACTTTATTGTATTACAAATGTTGTTTCTCTTGTTTTCTGGTGTAATGTATTAATAAAGCCTTCAAGATCTCAACTCTAGTATCCATAATGTATTTTTACTGAACATGTGATGAATTCCCAATAAAGATCAGTAAAACTGTCGAAATTGTGTCTGTAAAACCTTATTGAGACGTTATATGTAAATTAATGGACTACCAGCATAAAATAATGACATTGTTAATAATAAAAAAAATACGATTGTTTTCAATATTCTAATACTACTAAAAGCTGTTGAAAAATAAAGCACATTATATACACAATAAAACTCTTATTAAAGAATCAATACAACTGCCCGAGCGGCTAGTAAGCTGATAAGGGCTAAAAATATACATATAACAAAAAATTAATACAAACAAGAGTATAGGACCATCATGAATAGTAAACTACTCTTAACCACTGAGCCATGACAGACCTGAAGTTAATCCACCTTAACGTCATTCTTAAAGACCAAGAAA